GGTTGGTTATGGAGTTTCTCAAAACTTACGGTTTTTATTCTTGTATTAATCAAACTGCAGGTTCAAGAAGCCATGGAGGAGATTGGCAGTTCCGGAATTCCTTTGAGTGTTGTGGCAAAGGCTGCAGAGATTCAGCTCCTATATGCCGTTGACAGAGTACTTTTAGGCAGTAGATGGTTTCGAAAAGCCACGGGTATTCAGCCAAAGTTACCTTATTTGGTTGATTCTTTTGAAAGAAGGTTTGCTCTTTCATCTCTCTTTTTGTTTCTTCAAAGCTAGGGTTTCTAATTTTTAAACTCGTTTAATGAACGTACAAGTAATTTGGTCTCCAACGCCGTTTTATTACATAGTGAAAGCATATTATTATGTCACATTGACACTAAAAACTGTGAAGTTTGCTGACGCAGAATTTGAAGTTTGGACATTTGACATTGATTTTCAGTTCTGTGTATATATATACTCAAATCTAAACACGGTTTCAATATTTTCTAGTTTGAGTTATAGGAGGATTTAGATTTACGAATTTTGCTATAAATCCGAGCAAGCAAAATCGTATTGATGTGATGTATACAGGACCAACACTAAAGCACTTATTAAATGCTTCATAAGTAGCTAACATTTCCTCTCTCTTTGCTCTTAGGAGTGCATTTTCTATCCAAAGAGCGTCAGGGTCAGCAACTAGATGTCTTGGTGATTCAGTAGAAGCAGATACTTCCGCATCACTGCTTAGAGTAGAAGATAATAGTCCAAGCGAAGACGAAAAGAGACAGCAAAATCTCTGGTTTCCTTTTGGAGATTGGATTAATCACTCTGAATCGAAAAAAGAACACACTCATCATAAGGGTCCATCAGATGGAAGGTAGTAATTGTTTGCAAAACATTTGAGAACAAAATGTTGTTAAAGAGGGTAAAAATCTTGAAAACACAAATTTTTGGTTTCAGGGATATGGAATCTAGAGAGAGAGAAATGCTGCGAAGTCCTTTCTTACCAAAGATAACAATGGTAGGGATTTCAACAGGAGAAGCTGCACAAATGAGTAAGGCTAATCTCAAGAAAACAATGGAAGATTTAACAGAAGACTTGGAGCAATCTGATGAAGGGAATGATCATGGTTCGAAACGTTATGACCCTCGAAAGATGGAAGAGAGAGATCCTCTTTTTGTTGCAAACGTCGGAGATTACTATTCGGGTATGGCGAAAGCTGGTTCTGCTCGGTTGTCACGTCGAGGGGATGACCAGTAACGAAACACATCCTAGGTCACATAGCCTATTTGTGTGAATTGCTCAAGCCTAGTTACTATTTTGTTGCTACTTGTTATACTGCTTTAAATTCCAATTTGTTGTCATGTTAAAAATAGGGAAAATTCCATAAAAATACACCAACTATTTTTCTATTGAAAACTCAGTATGATGTGAAGCTTAATAGGTGGGAGTCTACAAAGCAAGCAGCAATATGTACTGAACCCAAATGTCAGTGGAGGATTTATTGCTCGGTGGAGAAACCTTTACGAAAGTGGATGGTTAAAGTATATGTAGATAAGCACAATCACGTGCCTACGGGAAGAGCAAGGATGTTGAAACAAGGTACCATTGCCAAGTTGTTTAAAGAGGAAGCAAGAAGAAGACCCGACATAAGAAGTACAGATATTAAGGATGAGTTGATGCATATGTACAATGTCTCGGTATCAATTTACAAGTGTAGAAAAGCAAGAAGAATTGCATTAAATATGGTGCTAGAAACTCAGAAGCAGCAATTTGCAAAATTATGGGATTATGAAGCTGAGTTATTGCGAGCGGATAAGAATACTACTACAGAGATTGTTACTGTTGAGAAGGATGGTATACAAGTATTTGATCGCTTTTACGTCTGCTTTGAACCCCTTAGAAGAACTTGGAAAAAATGTTGTCGCCCTTTGATAGGTTTAGATGGTGCTTTCTTGAAGTGGGAGTTGAAAGGAGAGATACTATCAGCAGTTGGTAGAGATGCAGAAAATAGAATTTATCCTATAGCTTGGGCTATTGTTAGGGGTGAGGACAAAGATTCATGGGAATGGTTCATTACAAAGCTGAAGAACAACTTAGATTTGGGTTTAGGAGATGGATATTCTTTTCATTCAGACAAACAAAAGGTACAAGAAGTTGCTTTATTATTTCAAAAGTAAGACAAATAAACTGTTTTGATAGCACTATCTTACACATCTTTTTTGCAGGGTTTAAAAATTGCTCTAGCTACTGTTCTCCCAAATGCAGAGCATAGGGTCTGTGCAAGACATGTGTATGGGAATTGGAAGAAAAAATTTGGTGATCTTGAGTATAAGCCTTTCTTCTGGAATGTGGCATACAGTTACACTGAAGGTGAGTATGAGTTGCACATGGAGGAGCTGCGTTTATATGACAGAGAGGCGTATGAGGCTTTGTTGGCTGCAGAACCACAACATTGGTGTCGTGCTTTCTTCTCCAAAATTGGAAGATCTTCTAATGTCTGCAACAATCTATCAGAGAGTTTCAACAGGACTATAAAAAAAGCTAGAGAATTACCTCTGATTAATATGTTGGAAACCATTAGAAGACAAACCATGATGCGCATTACTCGCAGGTTTAAGAGGGCAAACAAGTGTATAATGCAATTCCCACAAAGGATAGCAGATGTATTGGAAGTGAGTCGTAAAAATAGCAAAGATTGCATGATAATCACAAGTAGTGATAACTTGTATGAAGTTCTATTGTATGGTTGCGGTCATGAGGTCAGTCTACGAATAGGAACTTGTGTTTGCCAACGTTGGGACCTCACTGGTATACCTTGCAGTCACGCAATCTGTGTCATCAATGACATTCGCCGGAAACCAGAAGAGTAAGTCAAATTTTATTTTCATCAATGAACATGTGATATGTTTGCTATACAATTGATTATGAGTTTGGTTTTGGACATTTGCAGCTATGTTGTTAACTATTATAGGACTGCAGTGTGGATAGATACTTATAGGGACAACATAAAACCAGTTAATGGGGAGCTCTATTGGCACAAAACCGGTAAGGAACCCATTGGAGTACCAGGTTTCAGGAAGATGCCAGGACGTCCTAAAAAAAAGAGGATAAAACCTGCACATGAGTCTCCAACCAAGCCCAACAAAACAACTCGGCATGGAAGGACAGTCACTTGTAGTAATTGCAAGCAAATTGGACATAATCGTGGGACTTGTAAAAATCAATCTTATGTGGTTGAAGGTGCAAAACGCAAACGTGGAAGACCTCGGAAGATACCTGTAAGTGTAACTCTTTCCCTTTTAACACATTTTCATCTCATACGGTCACATTTTCTTATGTTTGGTTTGTCAAACATTTTAGCTTGAAAGTGAAAGGAACCCAAATCCACCAAAAAGGCAAAGAACAACACAATCACAATCTTCCACTCCAGCACCTGCCGCTACATCAACATTCCCATTATCATCTAGTGCTCCTTCACCTGCATTTTCACATGAAGGGACAGCTACTGCACCACGACGTGGCCGTCCACCTGGACGAGGTCATGGTCGTCCTCCAGTCCGAAGACAGCCATCTATCCCAAGGGGAATTGGGATGTACATATGCCCTTTCACAGATCGAGTATTTGATGTAAGGGGAAACAGAGTACGAGATCTTGGAGGTGCTCCGGCGTATAACACATCTCAAGGACCACGTCAACTCTAGTAGTATTACCATTTCGTCTTTTGGATTCTATGTTGAATTTTAATTATCTCTTGCAATTGTTTTTGGGTTGGTAAACTTTACTTATGAACGTTTGGATTGCATATATGACAATCTCCTCGTCTCTTTAATTGAAGTTCGTCTCTTCCAAAAGTCCTAAATAAACCTCAAAATCAAAGCTAAAGCTCGTCTACGTCATTATCAAACTAGTTAGGGTTTAGATTTGGGGATTTTTCTAAATTTATTTGGATTTTAACCCAAGTTAGAGATTTAACCAAATAACTAACGGAAGTTAACCACCGTTAACAGTATCATTAGGTCTAGTCGACGCGGGGTTGTAAATTGGAAAAGCGGCTAAAAGTTTGTGTATTGAAATGGGCAAACAAAATAGTTGGTGTATTTGTTTGGAAGGAAAAATAGTTTGTGTATTAAAAAGGTAACAGAAAAATAGTTGGTGTATTTTTGTGGAATTTTCCCTTAAAAATATACTATTTTTACCCGACGTATTTTTATTACTCGGTGTATAATTTCGAACGTGAAAATGCACTTTTCACCCATGCAATAAATAAATATAGTATTGATTTGTTTATAACATTTTTCTCATTGGTTACGAAATTAATATGAGTTAAAATGTTAAATTACTTATGGGCTTTTTCAGAATAAACTAAAAAGTCCACCAGTGGCCCAAGATTCAATTGACAATGAAGGACCAAAATATTAAATCGTTAATAAATTTGGTTCGTAGATTTCGAGCTTCGTAGATTAGATCGAGAGAGAGTCGAGGAGGAGAGAAAATCCAATCGTGTATCGCGGAAACAAAATTCAAATTATTTTGTGCGAGAGACTCCACAAGATAAGATCTTTGGTTTTTTTTCTTGTCTCATCACTGTGCCATATCCTAATCGGTGGGAGGGAGATTGAGAACGGTAATCGGAATATGAAGACGACGAAGGGAGGCAAAGTGATGAACCCTACTGATGCTTATCGCAAGCAGATTTCGCAAGAGAGAAATAAAGCGTGTAAGGGCTTTTGTTTTCTCCATTCTGAATTTTCCCTTTCTTTGTTGTTGATGAAATCGAATTGGGATTAATTGTTGTTGTAGTAGTTGTATGAGTTATTGAGTTTAGATTCAGGTTAAAATTGCTCTGGTTTTTGATTTAGCTTTGATTCATATATTACTCTTTGTGGTGAGTTTAAAGCATGTTTTGGTGATTTTATCATTGGTTCAAGTGGACAAATCTTCATATAAAGGCTAATCTTTATCCTAGATTAGACTCTTTTTTTTTTGGGTTGTTTAGGCATTAGATAAATTGATTTGGGAATTTGATTTGCTAGCTCAGACTCCTTTAGGTCAATAATCAATAGCTTTGCAGTAGCTAAGAAAGTGAAGATGATATTTTTTTGACCATCTTGTTCAATTGTTGTCTCATTATCTGTGAGCAAATATTGTTGGTGTTTGTCTATTTGTGGGCTACGTTTCTTACCATTTACATAAACTTTGGTTCTTAAACAGAACAAGAAAGAGAGGCAAAAGGTAAGAGAGGTTGGAATTTTGAAGAAGGATCCTGAACAAATCAAGGAACAGATCAGGAAACTTGATATGTCTAGTAAGTTTTGCTCTGCTTCTAATAGTAACAACTTATACCTTCAAATCGAATGTGTCTTCTTCTTTCCGTAGTTAGTTTCAAGCGTATCTCTAAACCTCAACAAATATACAGATTTGTTCAATCTCTATGCAAACTAATACAGAGTTGATATTTTGATTGGTGTAGAGGCGGAAGGTGCTTTGGACAAAGCAAGAAAACATAAAAAGAGACAGCTTGAAGATACTCTAAAAATGGTGGTGAAGAAGAGAAAGGTATTGCTCTCGTTGAGTTAGGTTTTATTCCTTTTCCCCACAAGACTCCCAGCTTCTGATTTGGCATCTCTTGTCTTCTTATTCTTTTGTCTCTTTTGTTTTCACAGGAATATGATGAGAAAAAGAAGGAGCAAGGTGAGGCAACAACCTCTGTTATGTTCAGGTGATTAATCGTTCTATCGAGTTACTTTTCATTTGCTATAAATATTGATTTTTAAGATGTCATCGGCTTTCTATTAGATATAAGTATAACCTGTTCTTGGGAGCCAGGCTCAGTTTGCGGAGGTTCTTGCGGATTTCCTTTTTTTTTTTTTTTTTTTTTTTTTTTTTTTTTTTTTTTTCTTTTT